GGCCCCACGTTGGGAAACACTGGTTTGTGGCTAGTGTGACACGGAATAGCGTAGATTACGTTTGTGTTTTTGGAGAGTGTTGAGTTAAATTAAAATAAAAACAATGTAGACAAAAAAAGTTTAGTAGTGTAATATGGAAATATTTTACGATAGTAAACGACGAATGTGCTATTGCTACCTATCTTTAAAATTTCATATAAGTAATGAAATTCATTAAGATAAAAGATCCGTTAAAGATCCGCTAAAAAGTAACGGATACGGATACGGATATCCGGCACATCACTAGTTGAGAAACACTGATATAGATAGATGATGATGTGCTTTAGTTCATCCTCACTGAAAAGCAAACTTAGGGCGTCGTACTCGTAGCGTCATCTGTTCGACATAAAAGCCTTAATCCTAAATGATATCTTTTAATTTATATGAATGTTTACGGAATAATATACAGCCTACGTCTACCGTGAAGTTCCATTCTAAATATTAATGAAAAAATTTTCGAAATCGGATAAGTAGTTTCGGAGATTATCCGCCACATGCAAACTTACTTAGAAAACATTACCTCTTTATAATATTAGTAGAGATTAATACTTAACAAAATCAGAAAATGACTTTTTAAATCGACCGCAGATAAATAATACCGATTCTGTAACTTCGTCGTTTCTTATTTGGTATATTTTTTTATCTACTCCTGATAATAGAGGGCCTTGGACTTTTATTAGAAGTCCAAAGGCTTCTATAAGTCCAAGTATAAAACGGTGAAATTATTTGATCAGAAATCAATGGTCAGGGACGAATATTACATCAATAGTTTGTCATATTTAAAAGGTTGAGATCTGCATTTTAACCTTTTAAGCTTTAATTGTCTACATTTTATTAAAGGGTCAGAGGTAAAATTCTTGTATTTTATTAATAATTGTAGTAATTATCAATTGTTTGTCATCCCAAAATTTCTGTCATTCGATATAAACTCCACTCTAGAAATGCTGGTTGCCATTGCACAAAACTGCTTTTCGTTCTCGACGTCACATCCTACTTTTCGCCCGAATTTGGCACGTGACGTCAGGAAATCGCTAAGCCTGGTACCCACATGCGGCAACGGACGACGGAATCGGTCGACGGAACGGCAAAATGACGTCACTTTTGCCGTCGACGTCGACGGAATACGAAGTTGAAAATTTTTAACTTCGTATTCCGAAATTTTCAACTTCGAAAATTTTCAACTTCGTAACAATTTTCAACTTCGGAAAGCGGCACGGTAAAAATTAGACCAATAGGAAGACCGTTTAGCAATGTCGTCATAAAGATCACGTGGGACGATAGCATTCGAACTATGGCGGTCGGCAAGCTAAAAAGCTTTATTTGTACACTAATACGCTAATATATTTCATTTATACTCTATATTACTATCCGATTTAAATATTAATGTCAAATAGACTTACTGCGTAAAGTATTGGGAATGGAGTAAGCGTAATTCGGCGACGAAAGTATTCGAAGTTCCTAACTTTCGACGATTTAGAATATTTTTCATATCCAACTTATTCGTTTTTGAGGTTTTTTTTTATTTGCGATAAGATCGAAGGCAAATTTAAAAAGTTTAATTGATATAACAAAGCAATCCCGGTAGACGCCATTTTCGACTACTGGCACGTAACCTACCTACTGTAGTAGCTTGTTTATATTTACGGCTGGCAGATGACGCGTTTTAATTGTAGGGTAATTTCCTCATGTGAGTACACGCGACACGGAAAGACGACGGAACGGCAACTGTTTCCGTCGACGATTTCCGTCGTTTGTTGCCGCATGTGAGTACCAGGCTTAAGTATGTTGTGCACGGGACGGAAGTTTTAATATTTTGCTAATTTTCCCGAAGTCTGATTTGTGATTCAATTTCACGTCGAATTTGAAAATAGGACAACTAAAATTTTTATCGCCATTTAATAAAAATATCGCCAAGAGATGACCTTGGCGTACGAACCCTTCAGATATTATCGATCCATACTTGGGCATTGCCGACATAACAGTTACATACATCTACAGAGACTGCGTTTTGCTAAACCAGATATGATGTCATGATTTTTAACTTCTTCTGTCTTAATTATATGTTCTTTGGATGTTAATCTCAGACTCGCTACGCAAAAACTTACCACACAGGAACACTACTTTCAATGAAAAAAGATTTTATTTTCTATTTTTTAAACGAAAGTGTATTTAGTGTTTTATGCCTTTCTCTAATCNTCTTTGGATATTAATCTCAGACTCGCTACGCAAAAACTTACCACACAGGAACACTACTTTCAATGAAAAAAGATTTTATTTTCTATTTTTTAAACGAAAGTGTATTTAGTGTTTTATGCCTTTCTCTAATCCTTATTACGTATAATGATATAACTATATACAATTTTGACGCTGTCCGATGAGATCTCGTAACCATCACGATCAAATGGCGACTTCTGTATTAATATAATTATACGTCACAGCTGATATATGCTCTGTTATTTTAATTTTTAATGTTTTTCCAGTTTCATTCACATAATAACAATATGATTGACAAGTACAAGTGAAGATATAAACTAAATTACTATTATACATTATATCCGTCTTTCTATAGATTTATTTTCTAATTTTTAAGAACGTTTTGATTGTTTTGTTTAATGTGCCAGCAAGAATAATATTGTATGATTTTAATATTTTCTGTATGTTTTCAAAAATAATCGGTGTGTAATCTAGATTTTATAAGTTATCTGTTTTAGATATTGTTTGTTTTCTAGAATGATTGTGAAACCAATTGTCAATAATTGTGTTGCGGTAGTAGTTTTCTGTAATGTGAGGTGTATATGTTAATTTTGTAAGTTTTGGTCTGTTATATCACTTGTACGTAATTTAGTTTTGTTCATGGTTATACAAAATATATTGTTTTCTATATACCACGTCACCCAGCTTAAAATTGTTTGAAAATAATAAAATTATCAAATCTTTGAACTGTGTATCTAAAACGTTAAACACAACATTATTCTCTATTTCAAAGCCTACATTATCGTGGACATTATTGACTTAGTGAAGTATCACTTGAGAATCGAGTAATTTCATGTTGTAAACATGCTTTCAATAAGTTTCGTGCTGTTTTTTAACTTTAAACGCGATTAATAATAATAGTAATAACAATGCTAATCATACGGTAAAATAAAACACATTAATAAAAAAAATTTAAACTTGTGTACTTGAATTGCTTAGCGCCAGTGCGTATTATACTATGCACTGGGCTCTCGCCATTACAAGAAGCGAAACTTCAGAAGACTTTTAAACTAAACAATTAATTTTCACAGTCACGTTTATCGGAAACGTTTGAGAAAAGGGTCTTATTATTTGGACAAGGAGCTGTTTATGTGTTTAGAGCTAAACGTTCACCAAGTTTCGTTTGAATCGGAAATCAGAACATCTGACCCTGTCCTTGTAAGTTAATAAATTATTTTTTTCTTTGCAGAGGATTTCCAAAATGGCAGAAACCACACTTGAACAAACAACGGAAACAGGTGCAATATCGCCACGTGGCTGCACTTTAATCACAGAAATGCCAGATATAATAATAATGAATATATTTGAATACTTGAAAGATGCAGAACTAGATTTATGCAGGCAAGTGTGTACCAAATGGAGAGATATCATCGAAAACATAATGTATTACCGAGTAACAATGATCACAAGGGTAATTATTATAACATTATTTTCTTGATTAAATGTCATTAACGTCATACATTTATACAATACTTTTAGAACAATATAATTGCAGTAAAATAAGCTTGCATTAATCACATTATGTAAGTAAATTTACATCTGCTGTAAATATTCTGATTTATTTAATAGAAAATCCCTCTTAATGTAATAATCACCGCAATCTACGAATCGGAAAGTCTGCGTCCCTACGTTGGGTTCGACAATAATTTTCAATACAATTGGTTCATTTTAGAAGATAAACCTAAACTTTTCGTTTTGTCTACAGATAATCTTAATGGATTTGGAGAAATTACACTTGATCCAATTCCAAGTCATATTTACTTTATGCATTTATCGCATCGTAAGTAGTTGTACCATGTAAGTTTGAAATTATTTATTAATTGTTAATAACAATGACGTTTTTAATTTTAGGAAACTATTTTACAAACCCTTTTCCTGCACATTGTAANTCGCGCGAGAAAAAATTTTTGAAAAAATTTGGAGACTTAAAAATCATTCCAAAAATAAAAAAAAATCAAAATGTTCAGAGGGTCCAAACGCCCGAGTTTTATGTAACGCTATGTAACTTGCCCGAGATATCTCGGGCTTGGGGTTTACTTAAAAAGACAATTTCTGTTAGCGAACCCTTTGTTAAATATTTCGAATATCACCACTGGAGATAACTGACATAAAGAAATTTAAATCAAACATAAAAATCCTCTTTGCCAGATCTTCAAAGTAGAAATGTTATAACAGGTAAATTAACGCATCTGCATTTTCGCATTAAAACGCAAAAATGAATCTTTTGTTTCTTTTTTCCCTCTATTGTTTGTTGTTCGTTTATCTTGTATTTTGTCTGGCACTTGATAAAGGCCTACTAGTTATAGTCTCTTTTGAGATTAAAGATTAAAGAGAATCACTATTTTCCACTTATACATGAATTCCTTGTTCTGTCAGTTTTTCAAGGTCGTCGTTTGCAAGGCTCTCGCCACAAACCTGCAGTAATAATTCTTCAATATCCTGTTCATTTACATCTCCTATTCTTGCTGTATTGATTAAGTTATGACAATTTGGTCAACGATAGACTCTTCTCATGAGAACCCTTGGATGCCTCCAGCCATAACTTCTTCCACACTTCGTTCATGCATTTGTCAGTTAATTCTTGCCAAGTGATGTCAATATTGCCTAAGGTAACCATAATTTGATATTTTTTTCCAAACTTACACCAAACAAACATAGATCCGTTCACAAGCGAGGCACTTAAACCACTGACTTAAACAAAACCTTAACCGAATCAATCTTTAGCCGAGTACAGTGGGACTGATTTTTTCGAAATATTAGATTAATAAAAACAGACATTATTCCAGTTCAACGAAAGTGACCGAAAAGTTGTAATTTTTGGAAATTTCCGTGGACACCTGGTCTTAAGACGAATTAGTTAGAAAACAAATGACTTTTAAGTTTAACAAATTTTGATTTTTACAGCTATGGTGAGAAACGTTTAAAATTTACAACAATCCTGTCGCGTCCTTTGAGATATACTAGTGATACGACAAAAGACGTTAACCGGTATCGGCACCCTCGGGATTTGGCATGCATGCACGCACCGCACACCTACCAAGACCATCTCTGATTTCATCCACGAGTCACTGGTAGTGAGCAAGTTTTACTAGGTGGATTGTTTTAATATTTAAAAAGTAAAGACTATTTGGTTAGAGTAAAGGAAAAGGTATCCAGCTAAAAAAAGTCTTAAACTTAATATTAACGAATAGACATAGGCATATCTAGATGTAATTTGACACGCTGAATCGATTGGTATTAAAAAAATTACTTACGATCAACCGTTTAAAAGTTACGGACGATTTTTTATTTCCGGCTATTTGCTTCGTTTAAGAACAACTTTATTAAGAAATACGCAGGCACTCATCGATATTAACATAACGAGTTACTTTAATTCACCATAATACATTCCATCTACGAGAGAAAGCGACATTAAAAATGCTAAAATGGTGTCGTTTGCCCGCGAACACTCGTACACACGACAACGGCGTAGGGACAACTGACGCAGGGAAATTTTCCCTGACCGGTGGGGAACTTGTCGAGCGTGACGTCACTTCCACAATTCCCTAAACACACGTGAGCAGTAACAGAAATAGTTGACACGATAATATAATTATTATATATTATTTAAAACAAAAGTAAAAATTTAATAACAAATTTCGTTTTCCCCATGTTACTTTGTAACAACATTAATGTCTTCAGTTCTTTATCCCAAAATATCGGCTGTTATGCAAAAAATCTCCAGCTTTAATTGCGTTTTATACGCATTCTTTCCTCACTGTTTCACATCTACGAGTTTATACAGTATACACATACTTCACACTCGTCATTAGAGTTTTCCTATGCCCATTTTATATCACTTATACAGCGACGAACGCTTTTACTTTAGATGCTGGCTGCTCTGTACTACCAACATTAAAAAGAAGTGACAATTGTAAAGTACATACAAAATAGTATTACGTTATGTATGGATGATTTTACTAACTCGTAAAATTTATTATGAGTAATGTAGTAAACTTTAGTTAATATATTACGAAAATGTTTGCGTTCGATGCATGCCAACGTTCTGCTGGTTTCTTTATTAATGGAACTTTGTCTGAGCTGTAATGAGCGATAGTTGCTATCAGGAAATGTGGAAATACTTTCTTCTACTGAATAGAGCATAATGTTGACAACAAAAATGAGACGCATATTTATAAGCTCTTCGAAAATCCACATCTTATAGAAATATGAATTTTATTTCTCGTGTGTTTTGAACACTATTTTTATAGAAAATGCTAGACACTTTTTTAAGCAAAGTTAATTTAAAACTAACAAATTCTACACAATTCGATTACAATAATGTTTTGTACTTGTTCATATCGTTTGATTTATACATTGTTAATTGTACTGACATTTTTATATTTTGATTTAATTCGAATCAATGTTTTCTTTCTTTAAATAATCATGTTATATTTTATTTCTGTAAGAGTTTACATATTGATATATCGAATAAATTTCAGTAATTTCATTTTTTTTCATTTGTTGTAATTTCAGCAGATGATTATTAAAGATTTTGTTGAAGATGTAGAATTTTTCATTGAATTTGTTAATATTTACGAGAAAGTTGCGAGATCTCACTAGAGAGCGTCAAAATTCTCAATGTAGAATTTTGTTACAAAAATATCACACCATTCAATAATTTTAACTTTTATTTAAACAATATTTCTTCTTCAACAACTTTTTAGGAATCAAAAAAAGTAACTAACAACTTTATTTTATGTACAATACACAACTTGATAATATTTGAAAAAATACATTATGATGAAGACTCCACTAAATATAATAAATATTCTGCAATATAACAAAGCTTATTTAAAATACTTCAACATTTATAATTTAGTTTTATATCATAAATATCTGTCGCTCTGAAAAATGTCCAAACAGCAAAACTTATTTGCTGCTTTAAACATTAGAAGAGACTTTAATCTCACAGTTATTGTTCTGAATTGTAAAAAACCATCATCACCCAGAAGTGAATTCAATTGAATTTTCACATAAACACTATTAAAATTTTAATACGTTACTTAATACATTAATTAATGTTACACAAACAATCTACATTTAAATAGAAATTATCTATAAGTGAGAGTAAACAGTTTGTTGACCCGTTATACAAAAGTAATAATTACATAGTGTACCTGAATACATACATACACCATGGCCAATCCTGCCCCCTGACGATACCGAAAACCAGGTGCAAAAAGGTGGCACCGTCGGTATCGGGGCTTAATCCCAATTAAGATAGAAAGGAATTGACCATGGGTCACCCTTAACAAAGATCCAGTACTATGCAGTATAAGTAAGAATGGAATAAAGGTGACTCACTGCTATTAAGCTAATTCGCTTGTGCGTTTCCTGACGATAAAGTTAGTTATTCGAAAATATTTTAGAGAAATTTGTTAATAAAGTGAACTCCAGTAAAGCAGCTTATTATTTTATTATATTTACTAAATTATATAACCTATCAGAATAAATCCATCTGCTCTAATGCTAAAGAGGAAAAAGTTCTGTTTGTGGGTTTAAATTCATGTGGGTTATTAACTACTGAAAGAATGGGACTATAATACTGTTGATATAATACTACTCTAACTGGTGTATGCTCTGCAAATGCATCATTCGCCAACTGCAAAAAGCCGCCTCTAAAAGTTTCAGAAAGTTCTTCTGCATTAT